AATATGGTATCCTCCCCATATGAAGCTGGAAGGGACTATTCCTTTCAGAAGTAAAAGAAAAAGTAGTCAAAATTTTTCCCTTAACGAAATCTCTAGCGCATCTGGCTGGCTCAGTCCTTAGGAGCATGCAACTCTTGATCTCCAGGTTGTGAGTTCAAGCCCCATGTTGTATGTACAGATTACTTAAAAAAAAAAAATAATTAAAAAAAATATACCCCAAATTTCTCTTAAAAAAAAAAAAAAAGAAAAGATATCCCCTGGTGTAGGGAATTTTGTCTTGAATTCCTATTCTACACAAACTCTCAGAGAACAGAAAAGAGGAAACAGCAACTCATTTTATGAAGTATATGTAATCTTGATAATGAAGCCGGAAGAGGGTAGTATAATTGCATAAACTCATAAATATAGATTAGGCTCATTCATAAATAGAGATTAGAAGTCCTAAATCAGTATTAGAAAACAGAATCCAACAACTTACAAATAGCATTAATATGTAGAGTTTATAGTGGCAAATGCAAACTTGGTGCAGTGTTACAAAGTCTATTAATGTAATTTAATGCATTAGTAGATTAAAAGACAAAAATTTATATAATTTAAATAACTTCAATAGATACAGAAAAACATTTAATGAAGCACACCATAAGCCTATGCTAAAATCTCTTGGGAAATTCGAAGCGTAAGAGAATTTCTTTAAACTGATAAAAGACATCCTGAGAGGGGCGCCTGGGTGGCTCAGTGGGTTAAGCCTCTGCCTTCGGCTCGGGTCATGATCTCAGGGTCCTGGGATCGAGTCCCGCGTTGGGCTCTCTGCTCGGCAGGGAGCCTGCTTCTCCCTCTCTCTCTGCCTGCCTCTCTGCCTGCTTGTGATCTCTCTCTGTCAAATAAATAAATAAATAAAATCTTAAAAAAAAAAAAGACATCCTGAGAAACCTATAACAAATACCATATTTAATTGCCATTGCTCCTATTTTGTTTTGTACTTGAAGTCATATCCAGTGCTGTCCTGACAGAAAAATAAATAAATAAAACATGTTAACCTTTGAAAGGAGGAAACAAAATTGCTATTTGGGCAGATATATTTTTGTACGTTGAAAATCTAAAGGAACTTCCAGAAAAATTATTACAGTTGATAGGAGAGGTTAGCACGTTTCCTGGATGCAAAACCATTGTACAAAATCAGTTGTTTTTATAAAACTGGAGCAAAAGTTGAAAGGTTAAAATTTTTAAAAGATAAAATTTGTACAGTTAGCCTAAATAAAAAGTAATAGCGCTATACCTAACAAAAGATGTTTAAGCCCTTCATGGAGAAAAATTCTAAAATGTTACTGAGAGACTAAAATGAATTAAAGAAGACGTAATTAAAATTGAGGGTTGTATCATGTTCATTGATTGGAAATCTTATTGTGGGTATCAGTTCTCTCAAAATTGACCTGTAAATTTAATTCAGTGACAGTCAAAATCTGAATAGTTTTATTTTGGGGAGGATAAATACCTTACAACCTGACTGTTAATATTTTTAAGCCAGTTCAAAGATCGTCTATATGACATTCTGGATAACGCAAAAATATGAAGCCAGTAAAAAGATGAGGGGTTGCTAGGATTCGGGGAGGGAGGACTACTTGGGGCACAGGAGATTTTTAGGGCTTTGAAACATGCCACTTTAATGGAGGAATATGTCATTATACATATATTAAAACCTATAAAATGCACAAAAACAAGAGTCAACCCTAATATAAATTATGGTCTTTAGTTAATAATTGTGAATATTCGTTCATCCCTTGTGACAAATGTACTACACGAACGCAAGGTGTTATAATAGGGGAAACTGTGTGTATGTGTGCAGAGTGTATGAGAACTCTCTGTACTCTCTGTAAATGTGAAACTGTTCCAAAAAAAAGTCTGTTAAGTTAAAAATGCAAAGAAACAAAAAACTAAGGAAAGACATGGAGGTAATTATCATAAAAGTCATGATACTATTTCCGTGAGTGGGGAGGAAAGGAGCTGTGAGGAGAGCATGTGGGAATGTCCCACATGCTGGCTCTGTTCCTTTTTGTTTGTCTGGTACAATTGTATATATAGGTTTTGTTCATTTTTTTTCCTTGAGGTATACTGTACTCACAATTTTTAAAAAATGTAGTAAGGAGGGAGAAAGAAGCACATGAACCCAAGATAAACGTTGCTTTCTTGGAAATCTCTGATTACCCGAAGAGAGAAATTTAATTCAAAGATCAAACAGATAAAACTACCTATCATTCTGTGATCAAGAATAAAAAATCAAACATAACAGATATCCCCAAATACGGACCAAACAAAGCGATGGAAAATGTGAAAGGAAAGTTTAAGAAACATGGATGGATACCTGATACTAATTTTTGATTATATCTAATAGAGATTTCAAAAGAAAGGATAGTCACAAAGGAGGTGACTTTAAAAATTAAAGAATTGAAAGAAGGAAATTTCCCTGCAATGAAGAAGGACTGAATTCCTGTAGTCAAAAGTCTGCACTGAATGTCAAGCAGGGTAAAAGACGGGACATAATTCTTTCACGTCAGAAATTTTGCATTTTAGTTTAAGGGCAGAAGAAAGCCTTTTTCAAACATATGAAGATTCGAAGTTTAATCTTTATCCTATTTTATTGGCATTTTACAAAAAATGAGAAATCCAGAATATAAGATGGGATAGGATTAAATAAAATGTGTGCAAAAAATGGACAACAGTTATAGATAAATCTAATTAGCTGGTATTTGATTATTTGTAAAGTTTAACTCTATTAAGAAACTGTACAGAAGGAGAGAGACTTAATGTTTAAAAAGTTTTTCTTAGGGGCATCTGAGTGGCTCAGTTGTTAAGCGTCTGCCTTTGGCTCAGGTCAAATCTCAGGGTCTTGGGATTGAGCCCCACATCGGGCTCTCTGCCTAGGCAGGCAAGAGAAGCCTGACTCTCCCTTTCCCACTCCCTGTCCTGTGTTCTCTCTCTCACTGTGTCTTTCTCTGTCAAATAAATAAAATCTTAAAAAACTTTTTTTTAATGGGAAGTCCGGATTATTTCATATAAACAGTGGGAAGAAAGTGTATGACTTATTTAGTGACCACTGTAAAATAATTAAAAATTATTTTTTTTAAAATAAAATAAAAATTTTTTTTTTTTTAAATTTTATCTCTCTCTATGATCCATGAGAGACTATGGACTCTGAAAAACAATCTGAGGGTTTTGAAGGGGCGGGGGGTGGGAAGTTGGGCCAGCCTGGTGGTGGGTTTTGTGGAGGGCACGTATTGCATGGAGCACTGGGTGTGGTGCATAAACAATGAATTCTAGTACACTGAAAAGCAATTAAAAAAAAAAAGAAAGAAAAAAAAAGAAAAGAACCCCCCCCCAAAAAACCTATGATCCAGTGAGAACCATGAAATAAAAAAGAAAGAAGAAATCATTGTAAATAAAAAACTGAAAATAAGGTGGAGTAGGTTCAGCATGTCAGCAATCACAGGAAATGTCAAAGGGGCTGTCTTATAGTTTGCTTACTGAGATCTACTCATACATTATGGTGACCTTAAAAGAGTGAAAATAAAGTCAGAGGAGCAGAAATCACAATATTCTCCAAGGCAAATAGAATTGAATTTGAAAACCATTAAGTGGGAGAAGAAAGGAGTATTTTATATTATTCTAGTTTTAACCCACCAAAAAGACAATAGCCTTTTTAAAAAATTTAAATTCAATTAGACGGAGCGCCTGGGTGGCTCAGATGGTTAAGTGTCTTGACTTCAGCTCAGGTCATGATCTTCAGGTCCTGGGATCGAGCCCCATGTTGGGCTCCCTACTCAGCACGGAGTCTGCTTCTCCCTCTCCCTCTCCCTCTGCTCTTGCTTGTGCTTTCTTGCTCTCTCTCACTCTGTCAAATAAATAAAATCTTTAAAAAAATTGATGAACCCTACCATTGTGGGAGAATTCAACACACCTCTTTCAGGAATTGGGAGATCCAGTAGAGAGGAAGGAACCAGACTGTAATCAAGAGAATTTGAATATCAAAATTTCACATTTTTCACATAGTGACATGCATCTTTGACTCCTGTGCACAGAACCTATCTTCCATGTCGTTTCAATTTTCAGTTTTATTGATAAGAGATTATACATGGACTCCGTTTGTAACTTTTCCTCTGTATTTATGTTTATTTTCTCTTTGTATTCCTTGTGCTCTTTACCTTTGTTTTCTCTTGTTTAATCAGGTTTGCCCAAGATTTGTCTGTTTCTCCTTTTTTTTTAATTAAAAAAATTTTTTTTTTCTTTTCAGAGTAACAGTATTCATTGTTTTTGCATCACACCCAGTGCTCCATGCAATCCGTGCCCTCTCTAATACCCACTACCTGGTTCCCCCAACCTCCCACCCCCCACCCCTTCAAAACCCTTAGATTGTTTTTCAGAGTCCATAGTCTCTCATGATTCATGTCTGTTTCATTGATATTTTTAGTGAGCTTTTGGTTTCATTGATGAAGTCTTTCATATCTTCTCTATGTTATTTCCCCTTCTCATTTGATCAAAATTGATCTGTCATATACTTATGGTTAATTTTGGCTTTTAGAGCTTCATGGGTTGAGTGCTTAATTTATTTTCAATCTTCTGTGTTTTCTGTTTGTCTCTAAAAGTATAAATGTATTTTGAAATGGCTTTAGGCACACTGCATAGGCTTTGGTATCAAGTATTATACTGTTGTTTATTCTAAAATAATCTGCAGTATCAGTTTTGAATTCTTTTTTGACTGAAGAATTATTTAGAAATATGTTTTTAAATTTCTAGCTGTTAAAAATGTAGATCATGGCTTGTGGGAGGCTCTACCCATCTCTTCCCTGGCTAAATCTGGTGTTACCTTGAGCCAGGAAAAGGTTAGGGTTAGACCCATTCTAGAGACCCTTCACCAGGTAAAACATTAAGCACTGAAAGAATTCAAAATTTAGGTTTATTTTGAATAATTAAGATGTTTTTTCCTCATTGTCTTTTATTTCCTTTAGTCTTACTGCTCTGATCCAAACCTCGTGTTGGATTTGAAGAACCTCATTGTGCTATTTGCTGACACACTTCAGGTTTGTGACTTCTGTTTACATAGAGTGATCTAGGGTAGTATCCATCAGCTCCAGATCTTTCCCTCTCCTACCCAGCTTGAGTAAATGCCTTTTAGTTCTTAGTTGTGTTTCTTCTTTTCCTAGAGCTAGATCTTATCTTTATATAGCATTTCCTGATCATTACCTTGACCAATTTATATTCTCATAAATAGTTCCAGTCTCCCTCTTTTTTGTTTTTGCTCAGAGCTAGTCAATTAATTGAACCACTCACTACATTAGTTTTTTTTTTAAATGTCCTTAACTCAGATACAGTGCTTGAATGATTTTGGAGTTTTTTAACTACTATCTTGAATAACAATTTTTGATTTGAACCACCAATCATATCCCATAAGGATAGCATTAGAAGTGGGTAGCATTTCAAATTTCTCTCCCTACTCATGAAGTTTGCTAACGGGACATGAGGAGTTCCCGGGAGAACTTTGTGGACATGGTACATGGTATATATTGATTTTAATTTCTATCTTTCTATTTTTTTTCTGACTGGCTTAAATATTTTTATAGGTATCTTTTAATTCTTGAGAGATAAATGCTAGACGTTAGGTGGGAATGAAACATGATGCTGTCATGCTTTCATTTAAATTGAATGATAATGTATTTCAGTGCCTGATTTCTCTCATGTTTCTCCTAAAAAAAATTGCCCTGTAAAATGAAGACATTTTCTTATTTTGGTTCAGGTGTATGGTTTTCCTGTAAATCAGCTTTTTGACATGCTGTTGGAAATCAGAGATCAGTACAGTGAAACTCTGCTAAAGAAGTGGGCAGGTATCTTCAGGTGAGAAATGATCTGTGGTCGTGTGTCATTGTATATGCATGTGCACATATGTGCTGGTGTGTATACACATGTTTATACATAAGTCTTCTCAGATATAATAAGCAACAAGTATGTGTGGCTTATCTGTTCCAGCTTTGATCCAAGTTATGGTTCAGAATTCAAGCACATTGTAGAAATGTTTCAAAGCTCACAAGATATGTGATCTCAGTGTATCAGGTCTACTCTGTGGAGAGTTCCAGACCTCATTTTGGCTCCTCTCTCCCCCCACCCCTTGAATAAATGTCCGATACCTTAGTTCATACCATTCAAATCATCTTGTGTCTTCTTAATATATTTTTTGGTGATTATGGCTAGTCTATAGCTCACTCATAGAGTAGTAGCTTTGAGCCCCTTTGAATAATTTAGGCTTTTTTGAGAACCTTTTTTTGAAGACTTACTCATGTGATTCCTCAAATGCATTCTTCTCTACATTTAGAGAAGAGATCTATTACAATGCTGTGTTTGAAGTGTATTATTTAGTTATTACATCATGCATCATGTATACAGTAATATGAGAGCTACTCTGTTATACCTCGCACTGACAGATACCTCCTTGGACTGTTTTCCTGGCACACAACCCATGTCAGATCACTTGAGTTTCTTCTCCTTTTGAGTCTTCATGCTTTTATTTAAAGTGGTCTCCTGCTTTAGCGCAAGACCCTGTCTCCAGATCAGCTTACCCTGTTTTCAGATTCTTCTAACTTTAAGATCTTACATTTTTCCTTTAATCTTACTAATGGTACAGTTGTATTTAAGGGAGGATTCTGTCTGTAGGAACCTTGAAAATTAGTAACATCATCTACCCATGGTCTCGAAAGTGCCTGATCTGACGCCTTCAGTAAATTTGACTTTGATTTTGGTAGTATGGTCTCTGCTTTTAGAGAGCCTCCAGTCTCATTAAGGGGCCAGTTCCTATGAGGGAAGTTCATCCTTAGTACAGAACAGTAGGTGAAAGTAAATGAATGTAATTTGGATTTACTTTTCCTCATCTGCCAGTTTTGAAAGTTAGAATAGATGATCTAGTACAAGAATAAAGAACATAATCAAATATGTTTTCTTTAAAAACAAGCAAACAGAAAAACCCCAAATAAAACCTTTCTGCTTTTCTTGCAAGCATCCATCCTTTTGTTGTTTACTACTCATTTGCCTCACGGCTTCTACATGTTGCTATGAAAGTTTGTCTCTTCTTTAAATCTCAAATACTATGAGCTCATGTTTGTAACTGTGTTCCCTTTGTTTCAGAGCGTAGTTTTCTTTTGGTCTTCTGTTAAAGATGTTTTTACCTGAAACAGGTAGCGTCATTGTGGAAGGAATAGAATAGGGTCTGGAAAACATTGGTTTGGGTGGTTAGAAACACGCAACCATTTGAGTTTACCTGAAAATTACTTGTGATCACTACAGTGATTAACCAGCCCACCCTTCCTTCCTTCCTTCCTTCTTTTTCTTCCTAGAAACATACTTGATTCTGACAACTACAGTCCTATACCAATAACAAGTGAAGACATGTATAAAAAGGTGGTAGGACAGTTCCCATTCCAAGATACAGAGCTGGAAAAGGTAAGAGTACTTTTGCTTTGCCATCCTCCGGAAGTTTTCATTTTATCAGTTTCATTGAAGACATTACCTCCAACTCAATGCATTAGACCTCTAGAACACCTTCAGAGATTTTGGGGCTTAAAAGAACAGAAGTTCCTGTTTTGGGAATCAGTAGATGACCTGATGACCTGAGGGTCCTTTCACCTCTGAAGTGTTAGGAGTATTGCTGGGCATGTTCTAGTGTTGTTTATACTTTGAAATACTTGCTTTCATTATAGTTTTAGGACATTTTCTCCCCAAACATGCAGTAAAAATTGTCCCGTGCTACGTAATTCCATGCTATGTAAAACCGAAAAATTGGTTTTGAGTGTATTAAGTCATGTATGTACTACCACAATAATGATATCGAAACAGTTCCATCATCCCCAAAAGTTCCCTCCTGCTGCTCCTTTTTCATCAGTTCCTCCCAACCCTAACTCCCAGTTTTTGGTAACTGATCTGGTAGCTATCCATCTACTTTTGCCTTTTCAAGAATGCCATATAAACAGAATCATCCAGTAGATAATGTTTTGAGGCTGGCTTCTTTCAGTATGATGCTTTTGAGATTCGTCTAAGTTGGTGTATGTAGCAATAATTCATTTCTTTTTATTGCTGAGTACTTACCACAGCTTTTTTTTTTAAGCCCTTCATATGTTGAAAGACATTTGAATTCTTATTTATTTAAATTTAGATCTTATTCTTTTCAGCATCAGGAAACTTTTGGAAACACTTTCTTTAATTTGAGGTTGTTTGCAATCTTTAGATAAGCTATCTAGTTGATCTCCTGCTACCTGAAGTAGTCTAAGCTTGCTACTTCTCCGCCATCTTGACTCCTCCCTAATTTGAGGTTGTTAAATAGACAGTTTGCAACGTGGAGGAAAATTCCTTTTGTATTTTAATTGACTTATAAGTATCGTCAGCATATGTTAGTTTGTGACTTGCTTTCATTAATTCTTGCATTTACAGCAACCATTTCCAAAAAAGTTTCCTTTCTCTGAATTTGTGCCAAAAGTTTACAACCAAATTAAAGAATTTATTTATGCCTGCCTGAAGTTTTCGGAAGATCTTCACCTAAGGTATGCTTTGAAACAATGGAAATGTAACAGATGTTGAAATTGTGACTCCTAGGCACATGAATATTCTGAAAACCTTTGCATAACCCCTTCCGCTCTGATTTTGAAAGTATTAATATTAGCCATTCACAGCATGGCACCTGCTATATTATAAAATCATGGTAAAAGGGGAAGTTGGAAAGTTCCAACAAGTTTGCAAGTTGGAAACTTGCAAATAAATTGTTTTTGTTTGTATTACTTAGCTTATTCTCTATTTTTGTTGTAGATTTGCATTGTAATACTTTTTTATTAGTAAGAATTGACTAGAAAACAGTGTATTGATTTTTGCTTTCTGTTTAATGAAATTTTAAGGCCACTAGGGGAGTAGAAAGTATAATCTCTTGGAAATATCCTTCTTTCCAAATATTCTCTGGGCTTGTTGAAGGTATCCTCATCTCCTTTAAGTTAAATTATCTGACTAATGTGTACCGAACCTATTTCTGTACCAGATACATCCTTCTTACTGGGAATGCAGAAGTAAAAGACACAGTTCTTTAGCCTCAGATATTGTCAGTATGAACTGAGGGTTTTAAGCATGAAAATATACCATGGTGAGTGTTGAAATATGGAGAAATGACTTGCAAAACACCTAGAAGACTACTTAGCTCATCTTAAAGAATTTGAAGAGGAATAGTCATTATGATCATCTTTCTGAAAAATAATCTTTTAGATTGTCTTTTTTTAAAGATTATTGTCTTTTCTAGAAGAACCCCCTCCTCTCAGTGAATGATACCACCATTCACCCAAGCCAGAAATCTAAGAATCATTTCAACTCCTTATTTTCTATTAACTATTTTTATTAAAAACAAAGTTTCAAGTATTGGTCTACATTTTTTTAAACACTTTATATATATATTAATATATATTGTATATTATATAATGTATAATATATACATTTTTGCATATATATTATATATTATATATGTACACAATTAATATATATTAATATGTGTTACATATATATATTAAGAACATCTGTAAAACTGAAAATAGTACTAATCCCTGAGGTGCTAGAAAGTATACTCCATTTTTCAGAGGAAGAAAGTGAGCAGAGAGAGGTTTAGTAACTTTATCGAGGTCACACAGGAATAAGTGTTTAAGCCAGGATTCAAATCTGGTCAGCACCACCTTCAACAAAAAGAATACTGCCGTGTTTACAGTTCTTACCCCTTGGCTTTACTATATTAGTATTTTACATGCATTGTCTCAGCTGTCACAGTGTTAAGTGTTAATTGTCCCCATTTAATAAATGAAGGCAGTGCTCATTTGTAAATTAGTCTCTCTAACCCTAATTGGTGACAAAATTGATTGTTGCGTGTTTTTTTTTTTATTTGCAGCTCTTTTTTCTTTAAAGTTCTCTCTTCCCAGTGTTGCTGCTTTTATTCACATTGTAGTTATAATTGACTTGGGCCACTTAAATAATCTCCTAATTGTTCTGAAATGTCTTGCTTTCCCAACCATCTGCCCTTTCTTCTCATTCTGTTCTGTATGTTCCCTAGAGTAATTCTTCTAAAATCAAACCTTATGATTTAGCTTTACTCTGCTCACCTTTCCAAGGATTCCTGGTGGTCTACTGCATAAAGTTCGAACTTGAGCCTGACGCAGTTTCCTATCTGCCTGCCTCCTCCTCTGCTCCTTGACCTAGTCCTTCTTATACCTTTCCAGGTTCATATCCTAGGCAATTTCCGTGTCACCCCGTGCTTCAGTCCTACTAACCTATTTGCTGTTTTCTGATCCTAATGTGCTATTTTATACTTGGCTTTCCTCATGAAACTACCTTTTCCTCGTTAGTGCTCCTAACGAGCTTCCACCCATCCTTCCAGGTTCACTTTATGCCTTTACTGAATGAAACCTTTCTGACCACTTCCATCCCTAATGGACTTGATCTACTGACTCCTTTGTGCTCCTTCTGTACCTTGTGAATGCTGTTATCAAAACTCCTCTTAGATTTTATTACTCTACTTGTGTCTTTGGGTTTCTGTATGTACTAGACTATAGGCTCCTTTGTTTATTTCACTGCTGGTTTATTCACCTTACATTGTAAGTAAACTGTTATTTATCAGGCTGTGTTTGGTAGTGAGGACATTAAGATAATGAAAATATGGTCCCTTCTTCAAGGAGTGTGTAAAATTGCTGAGGGACTGAACGGTTGGATAGTTGTGCTATGATGGAGAGACATAACAGCAACAAAGGAGCCAAAAATTGAGACGGATTAAGGATGTTAGAAAAGGCCACTTGAAAGGCAGAAGCATTTAATGTTTTGTTCAGCACAACGTCCCCTGCACCAGCTCAGTAAATTAAAGAAAAAAAAAAAAAAAAGAAAGAAAGAAAAAAGGAAAGAAAAAAAAAAAAAGAATGAGTGAATGGAATGTATGGCATGCCAGGCAACTCCGAAAGTAAACGTAATTGGAAAATAGTTTGAGTCACTTGTTTGATAATCATTCTTACTGAGTAAAAAATGAAGCATAGGGTTTGTATAGTTAATTTGTTCTGTTCTTTGAAAATGAGATTGTTTTCATAGAAATGGTTGCATGGCAATGAGATTATCTTTGGAAGTTATAAACGAAAGCTTTTTTTTAACCCCTTGAGGCCCACCTTCACCACCACTACGAAATGACTTAACAACCGAGAATTGTCTCTAGGGTACTGTCACGTATGTTACTGTATAGAAAATATTACAAGTTCATTGCATAGTGACCCTTTCTATCCTGTGTTGGAGGAAAGGTAATACGGTAAAGGGATAGTGTGAGTAAATTGTTCAGAAGTCTTTTTCTTGCTTGAATATCTTGAGCTTTAGTCTGAAAACCCCCTTTGTTGTTTTTAACATTAACAAAAATAGTTAATTTGGGAAGATTTTACAGCTGCCTTTAGTCTTTGGTTTACTTACCTTATTTTCTAGGCTACCTTTGCCTTAGAACCTGCAGTGATGGAGACCTCTTTGACAATCATGGGGGAGATTATAATTTGGGATATGAGAAACAATTAGTTCTCTTAAACATAAGACTCTTAAAATGGGAAAACCTACGGTATTGAGATTTTTATGAAGCTTGGAAGGTAATTATTCTCATAAATGAAACTCCTATTTTTTTTTTTCTGTAAAAGTTTCCCCTTTTACATTGGTTGGAAGATGCTGAATAGCATTAGAAATGTTGAAAAAAATATGTATGAATTCTGAGGACACAAAACTCTTTCTGTTTGAAAGAAAATTCTTTTAAAGATAGAAAATAAATGGAATGGCTTTGGTAAAATAATGTTCTAGCACTTTCACCTGACTTAAAAAATAAGAATATACACACACATATATACATACATAGTTTTTAAGTTATTAAATTGGATTTCTGTAAAGAATTTAGGAGACAGAGAACAGTTCAAAGAAGAAAAATTTAAAAGACTCCAAATTTTAACAGATAGTAATAACCACTCTTTACATCTGGGAAATCTTTTTTTTTTTTAGTTTTTCTTCCATGTGAATACATGTACATGCATAAGACTTCTTTTTTTAAAAGCAAATTACTATGAGATATTTCTGCTTCTGTTTATAATATAGAAAGCTGGAAAGAGTATTGTTTCCTCCCTAACAATGAAAAAAAGCACAAAACAAAACAGATAAACTACAAAATGAAAAATTTTCTGGAACCCATGAGAGAGCTGAAAGAATTTAGAAAGGAGAAGATGCTACATGCAGGTATAGTGAGAAGTGTTACGTCAGACTTCTCAAAAACTATGCAAGCCTGAGACGATGGAGTGCCAGGCTTCAAGGACTCAGAAGAACAAATCAAGTGAGAATTCTATAGATACTGAAATAACTTTCAGAAACAAAGTAAATTTTTTTAGCTGAATGGCAACTGATAATTCATTTCCAATGGACCTGTAGTCTTACACACACATGATACAAAAGGAAATTCTTTATATGAAGGAATATATGTGATCTTCCTTCTTTCCTTCCCTTCCCAGTACTTCTTGCTATGTATGTATCCGTGTGTGTGTGTGTGTGTGTGTGTGTATAGTATCAGAAGCCCTATTTATATTAATTTTGATTAGTTAGTGGAGATATTGTCTTTTCTCCCTGTATAATTATCATTTTGTTTTTATAATAAATAATGTTTGTGTTTATGTTGAAATACTTTGTGTTCTGTTGGTTATCAAATGTTCTTCACCTCCCAACCCCCTTACAGTATCCGTAATGATTCTTGCCTGAATCAGTTTGTCACTCAGAAAATTACTGGCTTATGGTTTTTAATTAATTTATGGTTTCTTAATTCCTTGTGTATTACTTGGCATTCTCTTTTAAGGAGTCCTCCATCTGCTTCATTGCTACTTATTTTCTCTCTATCTCTCTGTTTATTATCTACCTACCATCAGGTGAGACTCATGGATTCTTATTTAATTCACTTGGTTCATTCCTTTACTGTATTTGTTTTGATGCCCAGACTGTCCCAGACTTAGGGCACACAAGCCATTTGATACTAGCTCCTGTGCCTTGTTGATGTATTCTTGTCACATTTTGGGACATTACTTAACCATGGTATCATTGATATATGCAAGGAGCCCACTTTCTTTTGAGTGTTGAGTATTGAGTGCTATCTTGAACATAAGATTTGAGCATATGCCTTTATTTTAAAATGTGTCATTTTGAATCAACAAATAGTTGTATACTGTTTTTTTTTTTTAAGATTTTTCATTTATATATTTGAGAGAGAGAGATCAAGAGGGCACAAGCACAGGAGAAGGGGCCAAGGGAGAGGGAAGCAGGCTCCATGGGGCTCGATCCCAGGACCGTGAAATCATGACCTGAACCGAAGGCAGGTGCTTAATGGACTGAGTCACCCAGGTGCCCCTACGTATTGGTTTTTTATGCAGTCTGCCTAGTTGGAGTGTTTATTCCATTACCTTAATGAATTTAGTGATATGGTTGGACTTAAGTGTGCCGTCTTATTTTTGTTTTTCTATTCGTCTCATTCATTCTTTGCTCACTTTTTCCTGTTTCTTGTCCTTCTTGATTAGGTTATGTTAGTATTATGATTTATTTTCCCTATTGGCTTTACTTGAGTATGACCTTTCGGTTTTTTAAGTTTCTTGTTCTTGTAGTGGCTCTGGGGATTACAGTGTACATTGTTAATTTATCATAGTTTACCCTGAATAATATTATATCATTTTGCATGTAATTTAAGGCTCTTCAACAGTATAGAGTAATTTATCTTCTTACTCCTTTTTTTCTTAACACTTTAAAAAAAGATTTTATTTATTTATTTGACAGAGAGATAGAGCCAGAGAGCACAAGTGGGGGGAATGGCCGAGGAAGAGGGAGAAGCAGGTTCCCTGAATTTGATGCCCCTGGGATCATGACCTGAGCCAAAGGCAGACACTTAACCTACTGAGCTACCCTGGCACCACTTTTCTGTCCTTTTTTTTTAAATGTTGTTGGTATATCTTATACATATATACCTCTTTTTAATTCTAAAATATGTTACTGTGTTTGCTTTGAACATTTAATAGTATTTTAAAGTTCAAGAAAAAAAATTGTTTTTATTTTTGCCCACCACACATATACCATTTTGAAGCGTTCTTATTCTTTCCTCCATATCTACGTTATCCTTTGGTATCATCTTCCTTCAGCATGAAAAATTTCTTTTAGCATTTCCTTTAGTATCTGCTGGTGTTGGATTTTCTTAGCCTTAAAAAATATTTCTCGGGGCACCTGGGTGGCTCAGTGGGTTAAGCCTCTGCCTTCGGCTCAGGTCATGATCTCAGGGTCCTAGGATCCAGTCTCGCATCGGGCTCTCTGCTCAGTGGGGAACCTGCTTCCCCCTCTCTCTCTGCCTGCCTCTCTGCCTGCTTGTGATCTCTCTCAAAAAAAAAAAAAAATTCTAAAATACCTAATTTTTAAAAATTTTTGAATTTTTTTAGAGAGAGAGGGGGAGCAGGGAGGAATAGAGGGAGAGGGAGAGAGACAATCTTAAGCAGGCTCCATGCTTAGCATGGAGCCTGACACAGGGCTCGATCCTAGGACCCTGGGATCACAATCTAAGGCAAAATCAAGAGCTGGACCCTTAACTGACTGAGCCACCCAGAGACCCTTCTAAAATACTTTAAAATAACTAAAAAATTATTCTGAAAGTATTTTTATCATCTCTGTTTTCAAAAATATATTTTCTAAGGCATAGAATTCTAAGTTGCTAGTTCTCCCTTTCCCCACACTTTAAAGATTGCATTCCACTGTCTGCTTCAATTATTTTCTGAAGAGAAATAAGCCATTATTCCTATTGTTCCTCTGAATGTATTGTCTTTTTTCCTTTTTTCCTAAAATCTTTTGTTTTTAAGATTTCTTTTTGTCTTTGGACTTTATAATTTGACTGTGATGATCTTATTGTTTTATTTATATTCATTTTGTGTGGGATGTACTAAACCTCATGGATCTGTGGGTTGAAGTATTGTATCATGTTTGGAGATGATTTTGCCTGTATTTCTTTAAACATGTCGTCGTCTTCTTTCTCATTCTTTTTTTCTTCTTTTGCAAGTCCTAGCTGCTTGATGGATCATTCAGATTTCATCATTACTTGAGTGAACTGAATATCTCAGTTTTAATTAGCTTCAAATTACTTCTGATTTCAAATGCTGTTGCAGAAGTCTCTTTGTGCATAAGACCAGCTCTGAAATTCCAGAGCTTTCATCCAGGAGCTTATCTCTGATCTTAACGAGATTTGAACTGGGATGGGTTTCAGCTTTCGTTTTTTTTCTCTTTTGGATTGCATTTCTGTAGCCCTGAATCCAAAACCCCTTGCAAAATTTCCAAGATCTCTCTGATTTCTCACACTGCCCTCACCATTTCTTATGGAGGAGAACTCTTGTAGGGAAGAATTGTTGGGTCAGTTACTTTATTTTTGTTTTGTGGCTTTCCCGGATTCCAAACTGTAATAGTAGCCCACACTGTGAAAGGTTTGGCTGATTTCTCCTCATCTCAGCAAAGCCTTTCAGCCTCTGACTGTTTCAGTCCTTTATCCTTTATCCATCTGTGCCCAGATTAAGCAAATGGCCTCACGTATGAAAGTGACTGCTATCCTTCGCTCACCATTCAAAAATGTGTCCTGGTGTGGTATGCAGTTTTGGTCTGTTGTACGTGTGTGTGTGTGTGTGTGTGTGTGTGTGTGTGTGTGTGTTTATGTTAATTACACTGTGTTGACATTGAAGGAAAATACAGCTTTTAAGATTAGACCTAACTTTTTTGTTGTTATGGAGGTCATGGTGGTTTTTCTTGATCTTCTACATCATATCCAAATGTGGAACTTCTGCTGGATCTTAAATCATAGTAGAGATACATAATCAGTATAGGATGTGATGAGAACAATTAATATCAGGAGTACCAGATTACTTTAGACACCTGTGTTGATCACTTTTATAGCAACCTATACTTATTTGTAGCTCATATTACAATTGACCTGATATAATTATGAGTTTAATATATGAAGGCAGGAACCATAGCTATTTTGTTCATTCGCCATTTTGATCTCATTATTCCATAACACAATGCACAGCACCTTGTATATTTGTGTAATGAAGCATTTCAGTTCAGTAATAATTTTGGAAAGGTCAGCAGTGGGCTAGAGGGTATTGGTCAGTTAAATGTATCTTTGCATGGACCCTGTAAAAATATTTTGATGTATCATTTTTTTTCTGATTATGTCCTTGCATTCTGTAGTCTTGTTTCTTTTTAGTATTTTTCTGTTTTTCATATAGCATGATAATGTGGCTTGCCTATATATTTAGAATTGTAAGACTTTAAATCTGATTCTACTAAGCCTCTTTTTTCTCTAGAAAGATAAATCGATGAGATAAATTTTGTGACCACTGTCCACAAGTAATAAATTTACAAAGAACTCACAAATCTCTATTTACAGTTATCTCTTAATGTTTATAATCTAGTATTTGTACAATAGTAACCTTATCATTGAGGGAATACTTGTCTTAAAAGGATATCTTTTATAGAAAGCCATCTTTGGTGATGCTTTCAGGGGCTCATGAAGGCTGTATAGGTCCCAAATTTACCCTATTGGTTACAAGACTATTGTCTTTTTTAAAACTTTGTATATAAAGATGGCTATTGAATCATTTTCTTTATGTTTAGTTTCCTTTGTTGCATAGAAAATGTCATTATTGGGGCACCTGGCTGGCTCAGTTGGTAGACTTTTCAACTCTCAATCTTGGGGTTGTAAGTTCTACCCCCATACTGGGGATAGAGTTTGCTTAAAACAACAACAACACCTTATGATAAGGGCTTAATAATGTCCATTGGATTAAAAATTAGTGACTAAGTTAAAAAAGATTGATCATTTTGGGGATATTTAGGATTATAAGACATTTATACTGAATTAAACTACTGGTCTGAAACACTTATATTGGAATCAGAGCTAAATAGACCTTATCGGAAAGATGACAGTAGCGGAGCAGAGAGATCTTTCCTTATGGGCCTTTACCAGCTAATTGTACAGGAAGCCAATAGGGAGTCCATGTTGGAAAATTCTAAATATTAACAATATATGAAGGAACTTGGAAGCATAGGAGAAAGGAATCATGCAGGGGAATTCTTCATCTACCCTGGAGACACTATAGCATAGTGTTTAAATGCTGTGGGCTTTAGAGCTAGATGGTCTGTGTTAAAATCCTATTTGTGCTGTGTGCTTATCGTGTGACCCTGAATAAGCTGCTTAACTTCTCTGTGCCTTCATTTCCTCCTATGTAAATTAGAAATAATAATAAAACTATTTAGCATCATTGGTCTGAAGTTTAAGTGAATTTTCATATATTAAAATACTTAAAATCTAATTTCTGGCACAAGGTAAATGTTATTTGCTGCTGCCATTATTATCATCGTGGTTATTGTTGTTGTTGTTGTTGTTGTTATTATTATCAGAAGTAACACTGGCACCTTGTTTGTTTGCAAAGTAATCCTGCTACCTGGGATGACTAACTCTTGAGAATTCTTTTTCAGCTCCACTGAAGTCGATGACATGATTCGCAAATCTACAAACCTGTTGCTAACCAGGACTCTGAGCAACTCCCTGCAGAATGTCATTAAAAGGAAGAATATCGGACTTACTGAGGTAAAGCTGCTCTTAATGGAGGCAGCCAAGGCAATGTGTGAACAGATGTCTAAGCTCTGGGGCCCGTTTGTGAGTTAATTATAACTTTCTATATGGTCCATCACGTTTTTCCTAATGGATTCCTAATGGTGAAAGTGCAAAACAGATCATTTGTTTCTCTCTTTGGTCACTTCGGAGAAATCTATTACATATTTGAAAAGTCACTTTCTCTCTCTCTGTCTCTCTCTCTCATGATTTTCACCAGCTTAACTGGTTTTCCTTTCCAGTGTTGTTGTGTTAAATTGGTATTATTTGTCATCAATTACATAAAAACAGAATTGTTGGTGGGAGAATGTAGTCACCGTCAAGTTCCTATCTAAATGAGTGGCAGTTCTGCAACAACATACAACATGAAATCGCATTCTGTCTGCATAAGTCACCGATGCCAAGGATGTTGGCGCTTCTAGTCCGTGGTTAGTGTTAGACTCAGCTTTTGTTTTTGAGATACCTCATGTATATGGATGGTAAATTACTCTTTATCAGCATCTAAGTCTGGGGATTTGGGATTGCGGAAATGTGAGAGAAAGGCAATCGTCACATTTCTGTGGAAGCTTACAGAATCTCACAAAACGAGGAGGGATATTACATACACGTTGAGAACAGTATCTTGGCAAACTGAAGATTTGGCACTTTGGCGTATAGTCCTAAAATTTAGAAAGACGTGAAGTTTCCTTTCTCTTGGAAACCCAGGATTGCATGGGAGCGTCAACCTGCCATTTTATGGAAATTATAGTGCCAAAAGTGAGAGCTTGGAGGAATTTTTTTCACAGGGAAAGGGAAAGGCTGTTGGCCATCTGTTTTACTTGTAGAGGTGGTGTAGTTTGAAAGTCCGTTGCTCTAGAAAAAATTGACATTTTCAGATATACACTGTCAAAGATAATGGTGGAAGTAGGCAAATGGTTAATGATGCTGAGTCCTGGGTAAAGACAGCTGGAAGCCAGGTGAACATCTCCTTCTGATTTTGGACTGCTTGTTCCTTTCCCTGTGTTAAGATTTTAAAATATTATAATGTAGGACTTGGGCACTGTTTGAGTTCCATTTAGAACAAACTTTTTTACAATTGAAAGTTACATTCGAAGGACAGCTCCCTCATTTTGCAGAGCTTCCTTTCTGTTGTTTGGTATAGAAATATTAGGTATTATTTTTATGTGTCTGAGAATAGGTTAACTTCTTTTCATTATCACGAAGGCTAAGAAAAAAGGAGAGTGGAGTGAAGTGGAGTGAAAAGTCGGAGGCCCTCCTACATTTGTTATATCATACTGTTCTCCATTTATGAGTCCCAAGTAGGACAGGAAACTTGTTATTTTTTTGTCAGCTGTCTCTATATTACAACTCTCGATATAACTTTCCTGATGCCATTTGATTTAACAGCGTCCTCAAACATTTTAAACAAGTAGCATAGCAGGAACATGGTGTGATAGAAACCTTAGAAGGCCTTAGAAGGGTCTTGAGTTTAGCTGTGGCTGTGCCATTGATTTACTGTGACATCTTTTTTTTTTTTTAAGATTTTTATTTATTTATTTGAGAGAGAAAGAGAGCACAAGCAGGGAGAGGGGCAGAGGGAGAAGGAGAAGCAGACTCCCTGCTGAGCAGGGAGCCCGACATGGGGCTTGATCTCAGGATCCTGGGATCATGATCTGAGCTGAAGTCAGACATCTAACTGACTGAGCCACCCAGGTGCCCCTTACCGTGTCATCTTAAGAGAAAGACCCAACTTCTCAATTCTTCAGTTTTCCTGACTCCATTGACCTTTAGAGTAATGCACAGATCAGGTTAGGATAGGAAGATTCAGTAGTTCTTTTTTTCTTTTTTTTTTTTTTTTTAAGATTTTATATATCTATCTGACAGAGAGAGACCACAAGTAGGCAGAGAGGCAGGCGGAGAGAGAAGGGGAAGCAGGCTTCCCACTGAGTAGAGAGCCTGATGCGGGGCTCCATCCCTGAGATCATGACCTGAGCTGAAGGCAAAGGCTTAATCCAGTGAGCCACCCAGGCACCCCTGTATCATAGTTCTTGGCACCATTTCAGCAAAGGTATTCTTCCTAAGTCATTGGCTCTTTCTAGGCAATAATGCACTTTTGTTAACAACATCTTTGCATATGGCTAAAGGAACATCTGCACACATTTATTTATTTTGGCTATTACCATGGTGTATACATGTATAGATAAATACAGACCCAGTGATTTTTATTACCACCCATTGTATCTTTGAATAACTGTTACTCCCCTTTGGGAAAAGAAGACATTATATCCTCATTTATAGGAAACTCAAGTGAGTTCCCATCTAAAATCATCATCATGCTAGGTAACATTTGTGGAACAGTTTGTACTCTGCAAAGCCCATCACAGATACCATCTCATTTGGAACAGTCACATTTGGAATTAGCTGGGCATGTGTTATTATTCCCATTTTATGGAAAGCATAATTAAAGTTTAGGGAGATTGCCCACGGTTATGTCATTAACAAAACGAAAAAATGAGATCTATGTCTGGGTTGTTTTTTCCCAGACTTAATTCACTTCTACTGTAATGTACTGCCTTTCATATCGATTTAATTATTTCATCGTAACAAAGGGAGTCTTACAAGAAGTCCATAGTAATACGGAAATTGTTCTAGTTAGAGATGATTTTGTGTCAGCGAGCACATCGCCATTCAAACAACAGATGTGTTACAAGCAGACAAAACTCACCGAGTCCTACTTCAGGTTGTTGGACAATCTTTTAGGACTTGAAAGTTCCCATAAGCTCATGTCTCTCTGTCGACCTGTCTTGTTTGAATTTACATGGTATCTCATGACCTCTTTTCTTCCAGTCCATACACTCTATCCTTTCAGCTTTTTCTCTCTGCCCTCTAGCTTTCTTGCTTTCCTCATTGCTTCTTTGCTTCCTCACATTGAGCCAAGACAACAACATTTCCTTTGAGTTCTTGCTTGCTGTAGTTTAAATGCCTTGCACTCACAGACCTTATTTGCCTATCCCTATTCATCAGCGCAGGGTTAGTTGTTTTTCTTAGGCTGCTGCTTCTAGCTCTGTGGGAAGAAGGGCAGCTGAGCTGTGGTTAAGAACATGTGTTCTAGGGCCGCCTGGGTGGCTCAGTGGTTAAGTGTCTGCCTTTGGCTCAGGTCATGATTCCAGGGTCCTGGGATCGAGCCCCACATTGGGCTCTCTACTGGGTGGGAAGTCTGCTGCTCCCTCTCCCACTCCCCCTGCTTGTGCTCTCTCTCTCTGTGTGTCTCTCTCTGTCAAATAAATAATAAAATCTTAAAAAAAAAAAGAACGTGTTCTAAAGCAGAGTGCCTGGGTTCCAATTCTGCCTGGGTTCTCGTCCCTTTACAAATGTGCCCTGGGGGAAATGGCTTGGCTTTATGTGTAGAATGGGGACAATAAGAGCATGTGTTTCAGAGGGTTGTTGTGAGGATTGAATGAACATACGAAGTGCTTAGAACAGTACCTATACTCAAGGCATATTACCTGGTATTGTTAAAAAAGAGGTCTGGGCAGGTAAACAGTGATTGTCAGGTTTAGTGCAGAGATGGTTTTTCAACTAAGAGAAGTTACAAGATTAGAGCAAGACAACCTGTTAAGATAAATAACTTGCTTATTAACTTTATAGTATTGAGTACCTACTGTGTAACAGGCACCAATCTAAACCTTATAGATAAGTAAGTGAACAACAAAACAAGGACAGCAACAAAAGGGGTCCTCGCTTACATTCTAGTGGCAGAAAACACAACAGATAATAAGCAAAATAAATAGTAAATCATCTAGTATGATAGAGGGAGGTGAATGCTTCATTGAAGAGAAAGAAGGAACCTGGGTTAAGGGAATCAGGGGTCTGGTGGAGGTCCAAGGTTGGTCTTAATAAAAAGATGGTGAGTTATCATTGAAGGGCAAAAAGCATTCTTGGCAGAGGTTAGAGCAAAGGTATGAAGGTATGAAGTTATTGGTCAGCTCGGGGAATAATAAGGAAGCTAGGGTAAAGCTAGAGTGGAGTGAGAAGGGGGAAGACAAGCAGGAAATTAGATCACAGAGGTGCTAGGGGTCTGTGGTGGGCCCGTGTGAAGTGTTAGGCTTTTATTTTGAGTGGAGTGGAAAGCTATTGCAGGAATTTGATGAGTGATGCAATATGACATATTTCAAAGGAATAACACTGACTGCGGTTTTGAGAATAAACTGTAGGGTATAAACAGGGAGACCAGTTCGGAAGCTATGACACTAATGATTTGACGGCAGCGTGGGTGGTAGCCATGGAGGTGGTGACAGGTGATCGGATTTGGAGTGTAGAGTCAGCATGCTTTCCTGATGGCTGGATGTGAAGGGAGAGAGAAAGCAAGGAGTGGAAGGTAACTCCAAGATGTTTTTGATTCGAGCAGCTAGGATGTACATACCATGCACCGTGATGGCAAAATCTTTGGGTAGGGCTAGGTTTAGGGTGGAAGATTGGAAATTTGATTTTGGACATATTTAATTTGTAATGTTTACTCACATATATCTTGCAATATTGAGTAAGCAGTTATATATGAGTTTGGAGTTTGAAAGAGAGGTTTGTCCTGGAGATAAAAATTGGGGGAATACAAATAATATTTATAACCACCTGATCAGATAATATTACTAAGGGAATTTGTAAAGACGGAGAAGGGAATATGAAGGACCGAACTCTTGGGCACTCCATTTAAGGAGTCAGGAGAAAAGAGGAACTCACAAAGGAGATTGGGAACGACCCACTAAAGAAGGAAAAAAAAAAAAAAACAACAACAAACCAAGAACAATAACAGGAGTATGGTGTCTTGGAAGTCAAGTGAAAAAAGTATGTCAAGAAGGAGGGAGTGGTCAGCTTGACAAATACTGATGATTGAAGAGGAAGGTGAAGAATTACTATGGGACTTAGCAACTTGGAGTATGTTGGTGACTTTAGTAAGACCATTTTTAATAGAATGATGCTGGGAGGCTCCTGATGGAGTA